TCTGCAAAGAAATTATCTAGCATTCACTGTCACCTAGGAAGATACATATTACAAAATTAAAAGTAAGCTTTTCTTATGAATTTACTTTAAACTAAACTCTCCTAATAGTACCTAACAATAAAGACAGAAAGAACTTTTTGGACAACCCAATAGGTTTATAAGATACTTAATATGATATAAATTCGTGTTTAAGCAAAACTGAAAAATCTTTGCTGAGAAACCCACTTGGAGGCTTTCGATCCGAAGTCCTTTGAAGAGCACTTGTTAATAGTCGCGATGTATTAATTAATAAAGTTTATATTCGGCAATCTACCGCTTCTTGTTTGATCCACTCTTGATTGAGTCACGTTATCGTCTCAAAGGTTTACCTACCAAGAGTTAAGATCAAGAACATCAGACAGTGCATATTAAGAGGTGCTTTCTTCTGTATGATAAGTCATCTTTTGATCGTCTCGACTGATAGAGAATTAAAAGCCTTCCCGGTAAAGTCGGAGTCTTTTTTTTTTCGAAAGACAAGCGAAACATTATTTCTTAGCATCAAATTCTTCAAGTTATGAGGAATAAAACTCGGTTCGACTTCTGTCGCAGGCTTCATGATGCTTCCTAAAAAGTAATCACACACAGAGACTATTATACTTGATAACATAAAGTACTACATCTATTCTATCATAGATGTTCCATTTGCACATACACGTCATAAAATAAACAAAAAAAAAATTGGGAAATAGAATGTACTATAAATTATTGCTACCTGTCTCATAATAGCTTTACATTTGCATACACGTCATGCATTAAACGCAATAACTATAATGAAACAGAGTATTAATATTTATTTAATACAACTCCTCAGAACTTCAAATATCTTGGATCTCACATAATAGATTTCCAAAAAGACTTCAACATCCGCAAAGTTCTTGCATGGGATGCGTGTAACAAGTTTCAAAAGATTCAGCGCTCGAACCTTCCATTCTCATTAAAAGTCCAAACTTTCGAACACAGATTGAACTCGTCCTACTCCATGGATCAGAAACTTGGACATTATCTGTCCGTCTTGAAAGATGACTGGATGGAATATATACAAATCTACTTAGAAAAATCCAGAACATTAGTTGGAGATCCCATGCAGCGCTTAACATAATCTACGGAGAACTGAGACCGATCTCTCTTAAACTTAAACAAAAATAATTACAGTTTGCCGACCACTGTGACCGAGCGGACAGGAAAATCGTCTCATCCTTACTCCTATGGAAAAGTTTTCTCGCGAAAATTGACTTTTCCAGACACCATAGCTCGAGACTCAGCGTTGGACATTAGGGATCTGGGGACAGCAATACAGAACCGAATAGTGTGGAAAGGACTGTCAAAGGAGTTCCGACCAAGTATTGGGAAGTCGAAAGATGATGATGATGATGATGAATACTACCTCTATCACGTGATAAGGTTACATTTGCATACATATGTCATCAACTAAATTTTCTTCTTTATCCTCTGAGGACGTAGGCGATTATGGGTCTCCACAACTTCTTGTCCCGTGTAGCTCGTAATACATTTTCTATTTCTCTTATTTCTCCTAAACTCTGTTCCGCCACCGATTTACCCAAACTCACTAAGTATGTTATGCGTTGTTTTCTTCTGTCCCTCTTGCCTTCAATCTTTCATGTGAGTGTCAGATTTTCCAATCCCTCTTTCCTCAGTATGGACACTAGAAATCCATCTGTTTCGTCCTGGTGTTACGTATAAGTAATTCTATAGAACCACATTTTTCTTGCTTCGAAACACTTCATCAACTTTTAGGAGATTGTCCAGCACTCACTCCGTTCTGGGTATGGCGATAAACTATATCCACATCCTGGGTAAGACGATGAACTATGTCCAGCAGCAAAGCCTCTGATTAGGAGGTTTTGAGGAGCGTGGAACCACCTCTTAATTGCTGGTGCTCCCTGACCCGGGGTGGTAGCACTTGTTAGGGTCCCAGCTATGTGTAAATAGTTAACACCCAAACTTGGGTCAAAACACTATGAAAGTATAAAAATAGGTTTTCATACCAGAAATACATTTTTGAAAAAAATAATATTACCATGAATAAAGATCTTGTCGGCATTAAATAACCCATTGACGCTGATATGCCGTAAACCAAACCAAACCAAACCTGCACTCACTGACATACAGGAGGACAGATATAATGTAGCAGTTTAGTACTCTTTTCCTTGTTTTTCGAGAAGTTGTTTTTTCTTAGTACTCTGCTTAGCTGTTGGAATGCTTGCTTGGCTATCCGAATACGCCTTCAGATTTCAGTGTTATACTTTCCGTCTCCTGCTAAAACACTTACCAGATATTTAAATTTCTGGACTTGTGTGATTTTTGTATTTTTGCTATTTGTACTTCGAGGTCATTCACTAAATGCAGCAATTAATTTCAGGAGCCTGTATGTGAGGTAATGATTAACGAGGTTGTCTACTTGACTATTAGATAGTTTTATCCTCATTGGGTGCTTCATTGCGTGACTTAATCTGATACAAGTCGACAAATAAGTGTACATTAAATTATTTGGCATATAAACTTTATATTCAACATAAGCAGCCATCTATAAAGAAGAATATTTATTGGGTTGGCGAAAAAGTTCGTTTAGTTTATTAAATACATTTTCTACGTAATAACCGAACCAAACTTTTCGACAACTCAGTATATTTTGAGTGCCTGCATTTTTGAATGCATATTATAAAAAAATAATTCACGTTTTTGCCACATGGCCGTCAAGTGGCATTCGATTCAGTTTCCAAAGAATAACGGTGCTTTAAAAGACATAATGATACAATCTACTTCTTAGGCACACACTGTGTTTGGAGGTAATAATGGTTTATTGACACAAGTTTTAATAATTAACCCATAGATGGGGGAGAAGAGGTGGATTCATACTTTTCCCAAGGGTATTTCTGCGTAAGTGAATATAACGAACCCAACCGGAATTAATACTCGGCACGTAATTTTCGAAAAAGTAGGATTTGGGGAAGATTTGTAAGTGAAATAACGATACCTCTCCAAAGCTGTCTATTACCAATACAAAATGATGTGACTTAAAAATAAAATAAGAAGCAAAACCAAACAAAGTCCACAAATACAGTACTAGTTATTGTGAATTACTAGCAGCATGGCCCGGCGTTACCCGTGCTTGATTCAAAAATCGTACGACTCATATCGCTATCACTTGACTTAAAATATTTTTGCCCTTCCTTGCCATTAAAGAAGTGCACTTTGCCGTGCTGATGTTGCTACATGCCTTACTTCTTGCCTATCTCACACTGCGACTTTTTTCTAAGCTCTATACTAAACATTAAATCTGTTACGAAAAAAGAACTAAACAAAATGAACACAAAACGATCAGCTTTAAAAACGGACTCGTAACTGGATAAACCGAATGAAAAAAGAATGTTAATAACAAATACTTTTTCACACCCAACCCAGTTCTGCGGAATCAGAATCAACGTTGTGTTTAAGCAAGAGAATGAGCCAATTGAAGTACCATGCAGATTTAAATTTTTCCCACTTCTGACGAATGCAGCTATCGATTTTTTTTGCATGCTAGTTAACATTCGTGTCAGTCAGCTGTTGTCTCTCACGCTGGCCAATAGAATCTTCCTGCCTATTCGTGGCAGCCAGCTATTGGCTCTCACTCTGGCCAGTAGAAAATGGCCGCAAATCACATGAAAACTTCCGTATAAGCATGAAAAATCGATTATTTCCACTATCGATGGAGATGGGAAATGCAATGTCGGTCTTGGTCTTCTCGCTAACTTGGAGCATGTGCATGTAAATTTTGGTTCAAATCCGTCGGAAATTGCGGCCGTGCATTCGTTACACACACACACACACACACACACACACACACACACACACACACACACACACACACACGCGTCCTGCCTTTTATAGATAGAGATAAATATCTGGGTTTGCTCTGCTTACCTTAGTCAATTTGATTTAGGGCACTATTAATAAAAAAAAAAGACAAAAAAGATGTTAGAGCAAATACGCAGGGCTAAATTTTATTACAGTAGTTAAATATCTCGATGAAAATTGTTATGAATCCGAGCTTTTTATTATTAATGATTATTATTTTTGATCGAGAAAGCAGTATGCCAACAAAGTAAGACTGATGTGCAAATATACAAAACCCAATCTGGCAGATGTGTACTTTTTTCTTTTTATATGTCATGTCCTTTCATGACTCTACATCTCCCTCTATTCCTTGCAACTCTCAACAAGTTCATTCCCTCTGCTTTTTCCCCAACTACGTTCCACTTGCCAGGTATGTCACGCGTTGTTTTCTTTTGTCTCTCTTTCCTTCTATTCGACCCGTGAGTATCAGATTCTCCAGACACTTCTTTCTCATTATATGTCCCATAAATTTCAGCCGCCTCTTCCTGATGTTAAGTATAAGCCTCCTCCTTGTTTGCAACCTCTCTATTACAGACAAACGCGCACAATTTCGGGTCAGGTTTGCATAAATTCAGAGTGGGCTCCAATTAGAAATACCCTCTGGTTACGTAACCTAGGGAACACAAATAGTATCCGAGGGAAGATCTTCCTAATTACCAAGCTGTGATACCCAAGTCACCTTCGCTGTCTCGTCCTTCAAATTTGAAAAAAAAAAAACCCTTTTCGTCACCCGATCATACTATTTTCCACTATTCACGCCCAGGAACAGAGATGGAGAAGCCCCTAGGGAAAATGCCAAACTGATTAAGATGAGTTAAAGATTGATTGATTTTTGTACGGATTATCAACACTTTGCAGGTTATTTAAATCCAGAAAATATTTTTCTTTTTTCTTTTTTTAGATAATAATGGTTTAATGATAAAAGTTTTACTGATTGAACCATAGCTGAAGGTTGAGGAGGTGGATTTCAAAAGCAAATATCGAGAATCTAACGAACCCAAATGGAATTAGAACTCGGCTCTCCGATTAACAATTCTGAGCCATTATCCATTCGCACATCCGAGATTACAGCACCTGGTATTCCCAATCGGTCACCCATGTAGGTACTGACCAGGCTCGACCTTGTTTAACTTCGATGATCGTACCGGAATCGGTTATTACCACGTTATATTGCCGTAAACCTTTAGTGACACGAGTCTTATTAATCAAGACATAGCTTGTTGAGGGGAGGAGAAGTGGATTCATACCCGATTCATTTCCGAAGGGTATTTGCGCCTAAGGGAATATAACGAACCCAACTAGAATTGGAACTCGGCTCTCCAATTAACAATTACGAGCCATTATCAATTACACCACCCGCACATCCAACCTTACAGCACCTGGTATTCCCAAGCGGTCAGCAGGTACTGACCAGGATCGACGTTGCTTAACTTCGGTGATCGTACTAGAACCAGTGTTTCAACGTGAATGTGGTCGTAAGACGGTCACTCATGAAGAAGAATTTTGAATGCATTAGTCCCTAGGGAACATGTTCGACTAGTTATGGTTAGTCAAAGATTGGAACGATATGGCACGTATATGACTGAGTAAATGTATTTACAAATAGTTATATATTGCCTATGAAATTAAATTAAAGAAAACTAGAAACCTTTCTTGTGATCCAGTACCTTTTTTCTATTGGTATTTATTTGATTTGTATTTTACTTTCTCCTCATTGCAACTTCATTCAACGGACTAGTTTAAATAGCGCCGATTATTTGCAACACATATTTACAGTTAAGATTCCATGACCCCTTTCTGTTACGTTTAAAACTGGTAATAGTATATTTTTTTTAATGATGGGCTTTGTATTGAAGACAACTGTTTAAATGTAAGCAAAAACTTGAGATTTTCAAATTTCCACCTGCTGTGATGATATATTTTAGTAGATCTACTTCCAGCCATGTTTGATATTAAAAAAAATACGTAGGGTAAAACCAGAAATGATAAATTATATTCGAGTTTACAACATCTGCTAAAACATTCTAAAAATAAGAGTTTAAATGTGAAAATAGACCAACATTAATCGTAACACTGACGCCAAAAATACTTTAATGTAAATCGAATGATTTAAGTGTTTTATCAAAATTCATTATTCCGAGAAATGTATTAAGGAATTTCTACGGTTTTCGGAAAGCAATTAGATTTAATCAAAAAAGGATATAAAAATGTAAGTCAATATTACTTCTAAAAAATGTAAGCAGCTTCGTTTCTACAAGTGGAGGTCAACGAGAAAGCTTATTTTCCATTGTACGTCTCATAAAATCGGTTGTTTTCTACTTTTAAGAAAAAGGATTCAATTTGTAAGCTTCTTTGTTTCTGAATCTTCTGTCACTTGTGAAATGTTCTTGTGATTGAAATAAATCTGTCGCTGACTAAATCTGGTGAGTATGAACGATGTGGAATAACCTCTCATCATAACGTTCTTGATTTTTCATGGGCTTGTTTCTTTCTTTTGCACTGTTCCGTTGCATTGTCTTACACCATCATCTGAACACCATCAACCAGTTTAGCTTTTATTACACTTACAAATGTAACAACAATACAGGGTACTCTCTGTATCTTTGCAGCTCTTAATAATTTTTTTCATCCCTCCTAAACCTTGTTCTACTATCCATTCAACCATGATTCCCAGATAGAGCATGCGCTGTTTTCCTCTTGCTTTCAATATTTCCTGTGAGTATCAAAATGTCCAGAACCTCTTTCATCATTATGAAATTTCAACTATCTTTTCCTGATGTTAAGTATAAACGGTTTTTTGTTTCTATTTTCGTTAAAACTGCGTCGCTATTCACATGTTTTTCAATGACATTCTCAACATCCTTCTGTAGAACCACATTTCTGTTGATTCAAGTCTCTTCTGTGAGGAAATTGTTCAGCATTCACTTCCATATAAGAGAATTGATATAGTTCAGTATTCTTTTCTTTGTTTCTAACAAAATTTTTCTGTTTCTTATTACTTTGTTTGGCCATTGGAAAGCAATCGTACCAAGGTGCCTTCGGATTTTCAGTGTCGTACTTTCCTCTATTAAAACATTTCCTTGATATTCCTAAAAGTGCAAGGATGTTCATCTGAGCATTGTTGCCAACGTCAGGGTGCGGCCAACATGTTAACGTGATATTATGTAACAGTTCACTAGTATATGTTGTGTTTCTAACAACATTTTCCTGTTTCTTAATACTTTTCTTAGCTTTTAGAAGGCACTTTTCTCTATCCCAATACACCTTCACAGTTGTTTTAAATTATATTATTGGACAAAAATAGTATTATTTACTCATTTAAACTTTTGTGACCAACATTTTTGCGATTTTAAATATTTTATATCATCGTCATAAATATGAAATTTTTTTATTGTTATGATTCAGGTTAGGACCAAGGAAGAACAACACGAACATAAGAGTAGAAATAACGAAGGTATATTACACGAAATAATAATACAAGATGTGGAAGGTGTTAGTATGACTGTCAGTCTGGTTTGGAGTGAACTACTATCGGCTCGACTCGATTCGGTATCTAACCACCCCCCACGAGGGTTGCATGTGGCACAAGACCGAGTTTAACGTGGGTTTCCAGAGCCCGTAGGCTCGGCCAAAAAATGCCTGTAGAAACTAAAAACAGAATCAGGTTAGTCAACCTCCCCGAACGATGCTCTGCCCTTCGGCGGAGCCTCGTCCGCGTTCCTCTCTGCTCAGAGGCAGAGAGTTCGACCGTCAAGCCGAAACAGCTTGACTCGATACAACCCTCTCTCTTGAGAGGCGTAGTATACATAGTGTTAGGAAGAGTTCATTCTGTAGTTATAGGTAAGGACCCATGACATTTATCTTTTTTAAACTGTATTAGATTAGAAATATGCCGATATGATATTTGATTATTTTTAATTGTGCACGGGGCCTTAATTTTTTGTTATTTCTTTTAATCCTGTGTTGTCGTAAATGTTGTGATTCCCCTGAGATTTGCCACGACAGTCACGTTTAAAATAGAAAATTAACAAAGTCCCAAATGTTAAGCGTAAAGGATAAAATTACTCATGAATATTTGAGGTTATGAAATATAATAAAATGTTCATATATTACTACATGGACATTAGCCAATTTTGACTTAATCATTGCAATTATAGAGGTAATAGATAATTTTCTCTTAGCAATTAGTTCATAATATCCGTGGTCGTAAACTCAAAAACGCTATATATCTCTATCTATAAAAGGCAGGATGTGTATGTGTGTGTATATGTGTAACGAATGCACGGTCGCAATTTTCGACGGATTTGAACCAAAATTTACATGCACATGCTCCAAGTTAGTGGGAAGGCAAAGATTGACTTTGCATTTCCCAACTCCCATCGATAGTGGAAATAATCGATATTTTCATGCTTCTACGGCACTTTTCATGTAGTTTGCGGCCATTTTCTACTGGCCAGAGTGAGAGCCTATAGCTGGCTGCCACGAATATGCAGAAAGATTCTACTGGCCAGCGTGAGAGACAACAGCTGACTGACACGAATGTTAACTAGCATGCTAGCATGCAAAAAAAAATCGATAGCTGCATTCGGCAGAAGTGGGAAAAATTTAAATCTGCATGGCACTTTACTCCAATTGGCTCATTCGCTTGCTTAAACTCAACGTTGATTCTAATTCCGCAGAACTGGGTTGTGTGTGAATTAGTATTTGTTGTTAATATTCTTTTTTCATTCGGTTTTTCCAGTTACGAGTCCTTTTTAAAAGCTGATCGTTTTGTATTCATTTTGTTTAGTTCTTTTTTCGTAACAGATTTAACAATTAGTATAGAGCTTAGAAAAAATTCGCAGTGTGAGATAGGCAAGAAGTAAGGCATGTAGCAACATCAGCACGGCAAAGAGCACTCCTTTAAAGGCAAGGAAGGTCAAAAATATTTTAAGTCAAGTGATAGCGATATGAGTCGTACGATATTTGAATCAAGCACGGGCAACGCCGGGCCATGCTGTTAGTACAGAATATGAAACAAAGGAAACTGGTTTTTAAAAGATGAGTTATATATATATATCAACAAGATATAGAAGACAACACTAGAGCGTTTATCACACTCCTACTGGGACACCTCGAGGCAGTGTAATGGTTAGTAAGCTTGTCTCGCTATAACGATTACGACTGAGTAGTGAGTTCGATCCTCACTGGGTGCCCCTACTTTCGGCCTTGTGCCCAATCTAAACTACGCTTGGAAAATCACTATCACACTGCTACTGCGAACATCAAAGAATTCGCTACTTCAGAAACTTGCAATTCAGTCTAAGGAAAAAACTTTTGGCATACTGACAGTATTCAAGACACTACGCAAAGTCTATTTTATATGGGTTTTTACAAAATTATTCCAGAGTAACGTAAGTTTTACCGCAAATATCAGGGTTTCCCTCGGATCTACCAATCTTATTGCAATTTCGTTGTTTATATCAACGAGATGAACAATACATAAACCTACTTTTAATTATTGATTTAGATACAATAACGTTTACTACTATTTAGGTATTATATTTCTGCATCTCTCTTCTTTAGTTAGCACTACCGTTACTCCCTGTTGATACATCACAAAATAATGGCCTATTCTATTTTGCTCGCGCGGAAAGACGTAAAAGACGTTTCAGAGCTACTACTTGATCGCAGTGAGAAAACCAAAGAAAGAAAGAAAGAAGGAAAGAAAGAAAGAAGGGATGATAGGAATGTTTAACGTCTCTTGTAAATACCTCGTAAGTAATAGACTATTCTGTTTTGAACGCGTGGAAAGATGGAAAAGACATATAAATGGTGGTTATTGGTTTCAGTGAGGAAATGAATGAATGAATTAATTAAAGAAAGAAAGAAAGAAAGAAAGAAAGAAAGAAAGAAGTGTTTAATGTCTGTTTCAGTGAAATGGAAAAATTTATCAATTTTAGATCATTCTCTTTCAACTCCCTTACGGCCAGCATTCATATTTATGATTCTTATTGCACTGTGTTCTTAAAGTTCACCGGAGAGTAACTCAATTTCAAGTCCCAACATCCATACAGGGATCCATACAAGGGATCGTCCGCTGCTTACAACATCGAGCAAAAGTCATGTGGCGACCCAGAGACATTAGATAAAGAATTGGTCAGTATAACCCTACAACGTAACAACTACCCTGGGTACATGGCAACAGTCCCAATAAAGTGGGATAGGCGGGTACAATAGTAGGACAACAGCACTCAGAAAACAGACTGCCTGTCTTTTGTGAAGGGGTTATCGGAGAAAATACAAATAATCTACGGTACATATAACATCAGGACAACCTTGAAATGCTGGACGACACTTCGCAGATATCTTTCCCGAATAAGACCCCCCCATAGAGTAGAACATGACTAAAGACTGTGTGTACACCATTCCGTGCAGCTGCAGAAAGAAATATAAAGGGGAGACAGGCCGCTCCCTCAAGGTAGGGCTTCAAGAACACC